CAATGCGCCCAGTATCTGTTGAACCAAAATAATATTCATCTTCAAAAGTAATCATATTATTCATTTTAAGCTTCTTAGCCGCGATTATTATGAGCTCCCTACGTCGGCCATGGAGTTCCGGGTCATCAAGAGGTTCGTCATGCTTCATGCCATAGACCAGAGGATTTTTTCTCATACGCACAAATAAATATGTGTACCCCAACCACCTGACACCTTCATCAACGTTGGACACGGTGCCCAACGAAATTTCAGCATTTAAATTATCCTCTATTCTTTCGGTGAACCTGCAAAAAAAAAAAAAAAAGGTTAAGACGAAATGATTATGTTCACGCTCGAACAATTAAAAGAAAAAATGGACTCACTTGGATTCTATAGGATGCTGTTGAGTCATCATTGACACGTAATGAGGCAATTTATCGATAGCGGTCATAATATAACCAATACCATGACTTTCATACTAGTTTTGTAGAAATCAAATATCAACGCTAAGATCAGAGAGGATTTTGGGAATCTTTTGTCATCGACTTCTCTTTACAATTTCTTAAAATCAACAAATTACCTGTGGACGACCCGCTCTACCAAATATCTGCATCACATCCAGAAGCGATAGATCAACGAAATTCCCTTTTTGTGCATCATATACTTGCGTGCCTTTAATGATGACAGCATGAGCTGGTAAATTAACGCCCCAGGCTAACGTGGAAGTGCAACACAAGACCTATAAACCAAGACGTGAGACGAGAGCAAATGTGATAGCAGCAAAACAATGAAAACTAGTGAGTGACCTTAATCAGGCCAACTTTGAATAAGTTTTCAGTCATCGATCTATCGGATCTCAGCATTCCCGCATGATGGATTCCAAAGGAATGTGTAAAAAGCTCTCTTAATTCCTTATTTCGTGATTTCATGACGCTTGCTTTCACCAATTCATAGCGAGAATGCGTGGAGACGTCAAACAACTCTAGGGCGAAGATGTTTGAACAAGAATTTTGAAATTTCACATGATAAGATGAAACCGAACCGAAGATAATGAAACTATGACAAGCTACCCTCGTGCCCTTCACTCAGAACAAATTCGCGAAAAGTTTGTGCCGTCTTGACAGTTTCTTTACGAGCATGAACAAATACCATTACCTGGTGTCCCTCCTTTACATGTTTCAAAACCTAAGTAAATCAAGAAATACAATGATACATCATCATCACATTCAAGCTAGGGAAACTAATATTTGAAAACCCACCTTATCCCAGCAAGTCTGGTTGAGTTTATTATTAAATATTAACGTTCCGGGCTTTCCCTTGATGCCGACATAATGCTGTTCCAGTGGTACTGGTCTAAAACCGTCACCGAAATAGAATAACCCTTCGGCACCATTATTAAGATCCACACTATAAAAAAAGTTGTTGCGAGTTAAATAAGAATTCATTCCGTTAAATGAGAGCTCAAAGAAGTATACCCCAGAAATCGAGCCACATCAACATAATTTGGTAAGGTGGCAGAAAGTCCCACAATTCGGATTACCGATTGACTAGTTTCGACCTAACAATTAAAGGCTCTAGTCACCAGTAAAGCGCAAAATCGAAAAATTTGAAACCAAAATCATTAGATACCTGTCGACGCGTTCGGGCAACCAAACTTTCAAGTACAGCTCCCCGATCATCGTGCAGTAAATGAACTTCGTCAATGATGAGCAATTTAACTTTCTAAATTATTAAAATAACATATTTGAAATCTATTGATGTGTAAACTTGTTCGGTTTAAGTTCAAACAATACCATACCTGCACCATCTCAACATCTCCCGTACTCTTTCGAGTCACCACGTCCCATTTTTCAGGAGTAGTCACAAGGATTTGCGTATTGGTAATTTCAGCTTTTGTTAACTGCATGTCACCTGTGCAAATTCATTTTACACATTTAGATTCATTACAGGAAAAGAAATTAAGGCGAGAAATTTTTAATTACCAGTTAATTCTTTAACCTGAATTCCCAGCCATCCTAGTCTTTCGTCGAATTTCTTAACTATTTCTGCCGCGAGAGCTTTCATAGGTGCAATGTATACTATTTTAAACTCACTCTTTCTAATTCTGAATCTTTGCAAGTCCGAACTGAATGAAGGCGTGGGGTCGCAATACCGTGACAGCATACGAAGAATTGCGAGTGTCGCGATTTCCGTTTTGCCCTGTCGGTTAAATCGATTAATCACCTGTTGCCAAATCGAAATCCGAAATACGTAACGCGAATGCGATTATTCAATTACCGATCCCGTAGGAGCACAGATCAACATATTCTCATCTTTTTGATAGACGACAGGATAGACAATTGATTGCACTCGGTTGAGCGATTTATATTCCTAGATAAGTATAGAAACCAGTAAGAGATTTCCGAAAAGAAATTTTTTCCTTCTTTCAAAAAACGAAAACTTATCTACCTTGAAAGTACCTCTGCAAAGATTATCCATTTCACTTAAATTGACAACCTTTTCATTGTGCAAATTATTGGCTCGCTTTGTCATGGGTACAGTTATTTCTTCGTAATCCTATGTTGAAGGTTATCGAACAAATTAAGGAACAATCGTGGCAGAAAATCTTGTTCAAGTCCACATTAATATTTAATGCTCACGTCAAATTCACGTCGTTCGGTACCAACTAGTAAAGAAAATTTTCTTCCAAATACAGATAGCACGTTACCAGACTGCGGTTTGCCATAGATATGTTTGAATTCGTCCGTTTGACTAAACTGAAATTTGGGAATTCCTGTGTTTACGTCATAAGAAAGTTTTGAACGGAATATCATATAAGAATCCGGAATCCTTACTTGCTGCGGGAGCAATGGTGAATCTCTCGCGGTCTGTAACTGGTGTTCCCGTGCCAAACGTAGCTCATCGTTGAGACCCAAGATATTCGCCGAAATCGTGTCTTCGCCCTCTTCATAAAATTAAGAGATGAACTTAATTTTATTGGATCCATCCATAAACACTAAGAATATATACCAGCATTTCGTTTTTTCATATTCTTCCTCTGTTCTTTTTTTATCCGCTTTTGTTCTTTAACCTCGCTTTCCAATTGTATAGTTACTTGCGAGCCATACGAAGGACGAACCGGAAATGGCTGATTATGAGAAACCGGTTCCTCCGGGGTATCCTAAGAATTATCGGTCATCAAAGAATCCTTGAATGAATCACATCCCCCATCTATCCTCTGCCTTACTTTTCGATCTTCTCGGAAGTTCGATTGATTCTTAATAGTTTCAACAATTTCCAATCGTTTGGTCACGAGCGTTGTAACAAAATCAAAGTTTTCAAACCCAAGGAGATCAACAAGCTTCGCTTGAACTTCTTCGTCTATTAATCATGGTAAAACGAAATCAGAGGTCTCAAAGATCCTAGTGATAATGGCATAATGGCGTCTCTCATACCATCTTTTCCCAACCTCAATATAGTGAAGACGCCGGTGCACAAGTTGGCGGGTGTTATCATCCCGTTCGCATTTCCGAATGTTGAAGTGTGTATTTCACATTGTCTGTCGACATTGATTACAGGTGGAGAATATCGAATTGGAATAACGAGTCGAGTAAGGTGGAACTTGAATAGAATTTACATGCCTTAATAACCACGCCTTATCAAAGGTACCTGAATCAACATCCGGAAATCCTTCGGGAATGTCTGAGCTACTATCAGAAAAGTCTTCATAGTAGTATGAGGTTGGAAGATCATTATAAAAAAGATCCGATCCGTATTCGCTATCTCCCAAGCTTTCGTCCGCTAGAAATAAATCGAAAATATGAGTTTACTGGGCTTAATTCGCAGATAAGTTGATGGAATCGACGAAAAGAAATTGCATACGCACTTGATAATTGATTATTAATACTTGGAAAAAAAAAAAAGGAATTTTTTTTAAAAAAATGATCAATTCCGATAAATATAAAATATAAAAACCCAACATACTTCTGGGCTTGCTGAAGAAGTTGCTGGAATTGTATCAAATTGAACTGGAATTCCTCCTCCGCCTTCCGGACATTCTCCAACAAGTTAGCGGCAAAGTCAACCTCTACAACTTTCCCTTTTCCTTTTTTCTCGTTTGATCTGGCCTGCGCATGAGAGTTTCGCAATAGATCAGAAAAGCGAAAAAAGGCAGGCGAAGTTAGATCCATTTCAATTGAAGGCACAAGCGGCGAGTAGGTTAAAAAAACTTACTATCGAACTGGGCAATTTATCATTAAAATAGCACACATAAATTGTAATGTAAAAAAAAAACGATGAGTGGTACAAATGTGTAGACGGTCGTACAACATCAGGTCCCACGGGACGATTGTACCCGCATTATGCTGCGCACTAAAAGAAGCTTTTTTGAATTTGATTATGCACAAAAATCAGCAAATGGATTTATTTGTATACTTTTAATTGACTAATAAATTACTTTTGCGTGCAATATAAGGTCGAAGAAGTTTCTTATCAACGATCGATCAGAGCAAAAAATTCATCAAGGATTGGAAACATGTGGTGGACGGACAAATTCTCTATTAGTACAGGCTCTTATGAGTATCTAGGCGGCCGTTAAAAGTCAATTATGGTTTAGAGTTGCGTAGATGGACATGAGTCACGCCATCTGCTTCGCATCATGTCACATGAATGAAGAAGCCTTGTTTATTCATCCAATGATCTAATCATCGAGAGATTAATGGCAACGCATCAATTCACAAGTGTAAACTCGCGCGAAAGGAGACTCGGATCGTGATGGATGAGGATGGCCATACGGTCACCAAAAATCTCGATTCAATTGAAAATGTATAGAGAGGTCGAAAGTTTGGATCCACGAAAACGAAGCGAATTCGAAGCTGTGCTGCGGACTATTTAAGTGCCCACATAAAACCTGCCAATTTTAAAATCGGCTTAATTTTGTGCAACCTGTCTGCATGGTATGTAATAAATGGCAAAAATGGTACAATTTACATACAGTATATATATATATAAGTGGTCAACACTTACTCTTACAGCGCGCGAACGAGTTTCTCAGACGTGAATTCAAAATGGTTTACGACCCAAGCACATTTTCCAATGTCACCGAAGTCCGAACTACTCATATTGACGTGAATTTCAACGTCAATTTCGAAACTAGAATTATCGATGGGAACATTACCCTAAAGCTCATTACTCTTGTCGATGATGTCAAGAAGGTGATTCTTGACACCAGATACCTCAATGTTAGGTCTGCGTCACTTTCAGGTGAAAAGCTGAAGGTAAATGAATTCTGATCTTCCTTGTTCATAGGTTCGAGGCAAACATTTTAAGGATTTCATTAATCTAACATTTTCTGATTCGTTCGGCAAAGTACAACGTCGCACCCAGAAACGAAAAATTCGGTTCTGCCTTGCACATTGAGTTGGGTAAAAGTTTGCCCGCAAACACTGAATTCAGTTTAAATGTTGATTATACGACCTCAGAACAGGGAACGGCGGTTCAATGGTTAGAACCCAGGTAATTGTTACTTTGGTTTCGCGATCACACCTTTCCCTCATTCGCTCGTTCGTTCGCTCCCATCTTAATAACACCAAAATTTTATAAAGCCAAACAGTTGGTAAAAAGCATCCATACTTATTTACCCAATGCCAAGCTGTAAGTGAAAGAAATGGTTACGGTCTCTTAAGTTTATTACGTTAAATTAATTCAATTTCATTAGATCCACGCTCGATCGCTCTTGCCGTGTCAAGACACGCCTGCAATTAAGCTCACGTATTCCGCGGAGGTTGAGGTTCCTCAGCCTTTACGTGCTCTGATGAGTGCAATTAGGATTGATGAGGGGGAAAATACCGAAAGGGGAACCAGAATATATAAATTCGAACAGAACACCAAAATTCCATCATATCTAATTGCTTTGGCGGTTGGTAATTTAGTGGGCAAGGAGATTGGGCCCAGATCTACGGTGTGGACGGAGCCCGAAGTGGTGGATGATGCCGCATGGGAATTCGCGGACACAGAAAAGTTCATTGCCACCGGGGAGGAATTGCTCACCCCTTATGAGTGGAAAAGATATGATGTTCTGGTTTTGCCATCGTCTTTCCCCTAGTAAGATGAGTTTTTACTTATCCACTTGATTACTGTGTTGTCATGGGCTTGAAATAATTCCGCATCCTTCTCCTCGCCAGCGGAGGAATGGAAAATCCTTGCTTAACTTTCGTGACGCCCACACTATTGGCCGGAGATAGGTCACTTGTGGATGTGGTTGCGCACGAAATTTCTCACAGTTGGATGGGAAATCTCGTCACGACTACAAATTGGGTAATGTTCGTTTACCTGCACCCCTTATACCTCGCGCGGGATCGTTTTTTATTCAATGTTTAAGCATTTATTATTTAGGAACACTTTTGGTTAAATGAAGGATGGACTGTCTTTATCGAAAGGAAAATTGCAGGTAGGTCACTTGCCGCTTAATCATCATGAAGCAAATTTAACTCTAAAGATTCTTACCTTGATTATAGGTCGCTTGCATGGTGAAAAAGAAAGTGAATTTGATGCGATCATTGGACTACAATCCCTGGAACGTGATGTCAAACTTTTTGGTGAAACAAATGCTTTAACCGCCTTGGTCCCAAACTTGCAGGGCGTGGATCCTGATGACAGTTTCTCCTCAGTTCCATATGGTATACTATGCTACCTAAATAGATATCGCATGGTCACTGACATTAACACCTTTTTTTTTTCCGCTTGTCCAAACACAGAGAAAGGATTTAATCTTCTTTACCACATTCAGAAAGTAATTGGGGGCCCTGAATATTTTGAGCCTTATATGAAAGCGCATGTGCAAGAGTTCGCGGGTAAATCGATCACCACCGACGATTGGAAAAATTTTTTGTACTCATTCGTGGAGAAAAATTTCGGCACCGAGAAAAAAGCATCATTGGACACCATTCAATGGGAAAGTTGGCTACATTCTCCCGGGATGGTATTCAGAAGTCACTTTTTTTTTTTTCACGCCCGGTTAGTTTTTAACTTTCAGAAGATTAGATTGACAGCATCAACTCTTCTTTAGCCTCCGGTGAAGAATGAATTCGACCAAACACTAGCTAAAGCCTGTGATAATTTGGCGCAAAGGTTCGCTCATTCATAACTCTAGGAGGGTCAATGGCGTGGTAATAAATGTTTGCACTCAATTTCTTCCTTGCACATAAAGATGGAACTCGGCCCGAAATAATGAGAATTTTGACGAGTTCTCACCAGCGGACATTGAAAATTTCACTCCCGGGCAAAAAAGCAAGACGTCACTTCCTTGATCGGTTCGCTCTATGTATCATATTATCGCGTCCTAATCGATTGGCATCTAATTTTGTAGTCGTCTTATTGGAACGCCTCTTTGAATATCCGACATTCCCTCATCGAACAATTGAGGCGATGAACCGTCTCTACGAATTCACTAACGTCCGAAACGCGGAAATTAGATTCAGGTGGCAGGAAGTTTGCTTGAAGTCGGAATATGAACCTATTTTCCCACACGTGGTCAAATTTTTGACCGAGCAGGGCAGGATGAAATATGTCAGACCTCTGTACAGGCAAGTTTAAAAACTGAACCGCTTATGGCTGCTTCAGATGTACACCATTAACACGAAGTTTTCCCCATCAGGTTACTAAATAAAACCAAGAATGGATCAGAACTGGCGAAGAAAACCTTTATTGAAAACAGGTCATTTTATCATCCAATTGCAGCTGCTATGATCGAAAAAGACCTTGGACTGACACGTTAAAACGCTCACGATAATCATTAATTATTATAAATAACTCATTTAAAGATCATGTTGTTTATGTAAATTTGAATAAAAAATGTTAAAAGAAAGTATCAAGAGAACCATTTATCAAGCATAATTGCACGCGTGAATTAGATATAAAAATTGTCGCGATCAGTCTAACGTGAAAATTCAAGGGAGCAATTCCCTCGACGAAATCGTTACAACAACGAAAAAACGCGGATTTTTCTCAACATGAATAGACCACTCGTCGCATTAAACTCGCAATAAGTCTGAATTTGTCAATAAAAGTCCGAAATTCTGATAACTTCTCTGTTATGATGACATTACATTCCATCAACACGTAGTGTCTGTATTTCGCGTACACACATGAATTGCATAAATAAGTATCATTTCATTTTCTAGTTTTCCTCCCGCCGCGATAATATAATGATGAGCATGACCTCTAAAACTAGAATGGTCGCCCAGGAAATTTTTCGTGACATGAAATCCCTCTGGTTCGATAAATCATCTTATTATTATAAGTTGCCGTTAAGGTTTTGGGATCGGCTTGCTATTACTTTTCTCAGGATCACCGCGTTAATCTTCTATTACTCAAATTGGAAATTCAAAGAAGAATATCAGGATATGAGATCAAAACCTCCAAGCACTGATATTCCCGTTGAGGATTATAAGGAGCAATTTTTAGTTCTGAGAAAAGATGAGGGAAGAATTTGGAAGAACACCACGGTCGCGGTGGTGGTACCCATCCACCTTACTTCCAAAAGTTCGTTGCTTCAAGTTCGCACGACTTTAGAATGTCTGGCAACACAAACAATACTACCAGTGGTTGCAGTAGTGGTCGACGACGCGTCACCCCTTGCATATGAATTCGATGAGATTTGTCCCTCCAGTTTTATGAATATCGCGTACGAAAAGTTGGAAGTAAGCGTTGACCTCTCGAGCGCTCGTAATCGCGGAATAAAGTATGTCGCATTAGCATGCAGTCTTTTTTTTTTCCGCTTGTCCAAACACAGAGAAAGGATTTAATCTTCTTTACCACATTCAGAAAGTAATTGGGGGCCCTGAATATTTTGAGCCTTATATGAAAGCGCATGTGCAAGAGTTCGCGGGTAAGAAGCTTAAAATGAATAATATGATTACTTTTGAAGATGAATATTATTTTGGTTCAACAGATACTGGGCGCATTG